ATGCAAGAATGAGTGAGAATTGGTTCTTGCCCTTGGGGTTGGGGAAAAACATGTACACAAGTAACTGTAATCCAAGGCTGAATGTGATGAGTGACAAGAATGTTACAAAATCTATCAAGATTCTGGAGAAGATGAAATTATACCTGGATGGGAGAATCAGAAAGGAAATGAAGGAAATGACCCCTGCGATGCATCTTAAAGGATGAGTAGAAATTCACTAGGCAGAAATGAGGGGTGGCCATCCAGAAAGAAAGAACAATAAGGACAAAAAGCACGAAGGTGGAAGGAAACACTCAGGAGCCACATGTAGTCAGTTTTGTCTGTATCACGGTGTATACGGGAATAAGTCCTTGAATGCTCAGTTGAGATGTTTTTAATAATTCAATAGACAACGAGCAGCTAGAGGTAGTTTTAAAACAAGATAGCAGCATGAAGATTGATATGAAAGCAATATGTAAAACAAGCTAGAATTGAGAGAACAGAGGCATTTAGAGACTCATTAGAAAACAAGAAGGCTTCTAAAGGAGATAAGTAAAAATATTATAAAGGTCTGAGTAACAGCAGAGGGAATATAGAGGAGAGTTTGGAATCAAAAGTGCAGAGGTCAAAATAACAGGCTCTGGCAAGCATGTGGTGCTGTGAACAGAAAGAAGAGGAACAACAAGAAAAGAAAGAGCAGCTGCTCTAGAGGATGGTGTTCCTAACAGGTGAATGCCTGTACACACCTAAGGCACCCCTGCCCAGAGACGACCCACTACCAGGGGTCCTCAAACTTTTTAAACAGGGGGCCAGTTCACTGTCCTTCAGACGGTTGGAGGGCCAGACTATAGTTGAAAAAAAACTATGAACAAATTCCTATGCGCACTGCACATATCTTATTTTGAAGTAAAAAAACAAACGGGCAAAAACACCCGCATGTGGCCCGTGGGGCGTAGTTTGAGGACACCTGCAATGCCACTCCTCCCTGTCTCAGCATCAGGCGTCCCAGAACTTGTCTAAGCAACACTTAATCACACCTGAGGCTTTCTCCAGCATGATACGAATGTCCAAAACCCTCTTCTTGTCTCACTCCATCTCCTACTGTTCGTTCATTCAACACAGCAAGCACATGTGCTTACATCAATGGACTCAACGCTGTAAAGCGTAAGGCAATGCCTTCATCCTACTGGTTCCAATATCTGGTCCTGATGCAACTCTGGCAGAGAAGGATGTGTTTTCTTGCCATTTGCCTTTTTTAATTTTTTCAATGGAAATGACTTTACTCTTTTGCAAATTTAAAAATAACATAAAATTCAAAGAAGGATAATATTACATGCATTGCAATAAAAATGTGGAAGATAAAGTTGAGAAAAATCAGAAAATAGAACAAGTAGGGATAAAAACAGGCGAGCAGAGAGTACAAAAACAATAGAGTAGCAATATAAAAAGTTCAACATCCAAAAAGTGGACATTCTGGAAAGACAATAAAGAGGACATGGAGGGGGAAAATCATTAAAAAAAAGAAAGAAGGAAAGAAAATTCAAGAATATTTACCCAAACTGAAACTTTCCAGACTAAAAAGCTACTTGAATAACCGGCACCCAGGGTGAAAATAGACCCATGCCAATATGTATCACCATAAATTTTCAGAATACTGGGGATAACGAGATTATATAAAATTCCAGAGAAGAAAACAAAAAGGGCCCTCCCAGTCCTGCCCTGCATACACATAGACTTAATGGGTTAGGCTTTGCCAACCAATCTAAGACAAACCATCACCATTGAGTCATGGGACCTCTAAAATGGAAAGGCTGTTATGAGGAAGAATTTGCTAGTCAGAGCAAGAGTAACTGTATAATGGAGACAAAACCATTTCATTCAAAGACTTTAAGGGACAGACCCATTTTCCAGTGTCACTTGTGCTGTAATGCACAATTGCCCCCAAATAATGCAGAGATCAAAAACTGCCAAGAGGAAGGAAGCCAAAATGTAGTATACCAACCCTACAGATAGAACGTTCCACCTGCCTTCTTCTCTGACTGGTAAAATAATGAAATACTCCACTGAAATGTAGTTCTTTATAAACTGTTAAAAATACGGTTTTGTTTCCTCTATTATAAAACTATTTAAGTCTATAAAATGGGAATGCCTTAAAAATGATGAAGTATTTTCTTTATAGAAAGTACCAAACTACTGTCTATATTGAGCCAAAGGAGTCTCCCACCCTGTGGGTACTATTATATTACAAGGTTGTCTCAAGTCAGCATGTACATAGATTGCACACTAAAATCGTGTCTTAATCTCACAATTACTCTCTCATTTCACATTGCATCAGTCAACAATCGTTGCTAGTTCTGTTCCCAAATCTCTAATCAAATCAATGCCCTTCACTTCCACCCATACTGCCTTAATTCAGGCTTTTGTATTCTCCCACACAAACTATCTTACCAGCCTTTAAACTTTGTCTCTCTGATTTAGTATCACCTTCAATTATTTTGCCTTTCACACCCACAACCACAGTTATCTTTCTGAAATATATTGGGTTATTAAGTATGGAATGTCCAATTTACTAAGTTTGACAGTTGATATCTCTGACATTTCACTTTGACACTTTCCTTTTTATTGTGAAGGTACATCCTCTTTCAAATGCAGTTTGGCTTATGATTATCTTAAATTTTTTTAGAGCAATTTTTGTGAAAGCATGGATAAGTCAAAAATTCATATTATTTTTGAATATGAGTTCCATCATTGGACCAATGCAGTGCAGACAGCTCGAAATATCAACAAAGATTGGGAAGGATGTGACTAATGAACGCACAGAACATCGATGGTTTGAGAAGTTCCATTCTGGTGATTTTAATCTTGAAAATGAGCCATGTGGGTGACCTAGACCAAGGTGGATAATGATGAGCTGAGAGCTGTAGTGGAAGAGAATCCATCTCAACCTACACAGGAATACAATATTGGACCATTTGAAACATGCGCAAGGTAAGGAAGCTGCAAAGGTACTGCATGAATTACACAAACATCAGAAGAGAAATAATCTTGAAGCTTGCCTTTTTCTTTGCTGTTATGACATAAAGGTGAACCATTTACACTGTATTGTTACATGGGATGAAAAATGAATTCTTTTTGATAATCACAAGCATTCAGCGCAATGGTTGGATAAAGATGAAGTGCCAAAGCACAGTCCAAAACTGAATATTCATCAAAAAAAGCTAACGGTGTCTGTTTGGTGGTCCAGCATGGTATTATCCACTACAGTGTCTTGAAACCTGGTCAACTGGTTACAGCAGATGTCTACCACAACCAATTGGATGAAATGATGAGGATGCTTGTGATTAAGCAGCGGTCAATAGAGACAGGCCAATCCTCTTGCAAGTCCACGTTGCAAAAAACAGCCTGCTCAAACTACAGAAGCTGGACTTGGAAGTTCTCTGCCATCCACCATATTTACCAGACTTGCACCAACTGACTACCACTTCTTCCAGGCTTTGGACCATTCCTTGTGAGGAAAAAATATTCAATTCTCAGTAAGTTGTGGAAAACACCTTTCACGATTTCATCGCCACTCGCTTCTTCACTGTTGGCATAAGCAAGCTACCATTAAGATGGCAAAACTATGTTGGTAGTTCAGGCACATACTTTAATTATATTGCTTCTTATCTGAGATATAATAAACTTTACACTCAAAATAGGACAGTTCATATTTAACGAACTAATATTTCCAATCTTGTTATTTCTCTCCTTGAAATTTGTCCTTCTGTGATTGGTTTATTTCACTTAGCATAACATCTTCCAGCAAGAGAGCTTCTGTGAAGTATGTACAAATAGTACATGTCCACTTACATGAGGTTATCAGCTATAGCAGTCAAACTCACCGAAGTAGAAAGCAGAATGTTGGTTGCCAGGGGCTGCGGGGACGGGGAAATGGGGAGTTGCTGTTCAATGGGTGCATAGTTTCAGTGATACATCAGTAAGTTCTAGAGACCTGCTGTTCAACAGTGTGCATATAGTTAAAAATACTGTGTTGTGTACTTAAAATTTAAGATTGTAGATCTCATGTTAAGTGTTCTTACCATAAAAAAAAAAAAGGAAAGAAAGAAAGAAGAGAAGTAATAGCAATAACCAAAAACAAACGTACTACTCTGGAGCGGGATGTTGACAGTAGGAGAGTCTGTGTGTGGTGGAAGCAGGAGGTGTGCTCTAAAAAATCTGCTGCTCTAAAAAACTGCTCTAAAAAATATTGTCTATTTAAAAGAAAAAAAAAATTAGTTGAGACTAAGTACATTTGAATTGTTACTGATTCGTATGATAATAAAAATTACTTAATATGTATTATTTCCCCTTCCTCTGTGCCTTTGTTCCTCTTGTCTCCCTCCCTGAATATCTGTATTTATGGGTATTCTCCATAATGAGCACTTCATAATATGTTTTTACATACTCTAGTTGTCTTGTCTTCTTAAATTGTATTTTTAAGCTTCTGGAGATGATCTATCTAATTCTTGTACTTTATAACGATTATCACACAGGGTTTATCGATAATAATGAAAGGCAAGAATGTAACATATGACAAATAATCAATTCTCAGATGCCTTCTTTTTCACTGAAGACATTCCCAATCAATCCCAGAAGCCTCAACACTCAAAACTGATACCACTGTCTCTAGACAGCTGGAACCAATGACCTACTCGTGTTAGCAATTTTTCTCTAATGTGCTACAATGTATTTTGTGTGTGCACTTGTCCTTCACCCCAAGAAGGTGGGATCATGTTTCTGATCTTTGATACAGTACCCCACATCACCTCGTACAGGGCTGTCAGCAAAGTGGACCCTTCAGTAGGAGTTGCTTCCTGTTCCCATTTCCCGCTCCCATCTCCCCCCACCAGTCACAGGAAGCAGCAACAGGACAGGAGAGAATTCTATAAGGGCAGCAATGTCTTTGTTCTTGTTAGCTGCTCTATCTCCCTAATAATAGGTAACTCTGATAAATGAATGCACACACGTAAATTTCCACAAAGGACATTATAGCAGGTTTATCTTTTATTCTGATGTTGCATAAGAACAAAATAAACACAAAACTGCATTAGTGAATCAGTCGTGGGGTTCCTCCATGTCTGTGTTGGTGTTCTTTCTCTTTTGCTTGGATAGCTCTTTGATGGACTCTATCTCCGCAAGACTGAACTTGGGGGTTAGTATCACATTGTCATAATCAAATTCTTCATCAAGTGAGAAGGGTTGAACTTCATCGCCAGGTATCTATAAAAGGTAACAAAGGAGAAAAAACATATACAATCACTGTAAATGAAGATAAAATAAGTTGAAAACATAAACTCCCTATTAATATTTAATTAAACTTTTTTTAGACTTCAGCACTCTCAGCTGATTAAGCTGTTTTTAAGTAAAGGAATAAATTCAATTATTCAATTTGACCTAATTTAAGCCTCTTAATATGCCCCATTTGTACTATGCTGTATCTGAGTGAATATCATTAACTAATCCTGCCCAAGGCAAGAATCAGAAAGTCTCCCTTTGCACATATTCATTATATTTTTTACCATTTGTATTGTCAAGGTAGAGAGAGGCAGATGGAAAAAGAGTAATATTAAAATAAATGTGAGAAAATATACGTTAAGATCTTGATCAGCCTTAAATACATTTTTACCATTTAGTAAAAAAGATCTGTATTAATGAGACATAATTTTCAAAGATAAAAGTACCCTACACTAAATATACTTCTTCAGATAATATCTGCAACTCCTAGCTAATAACAGTAACAATTAAAACACTCAGTTTAAATCAAAAAGTCCAGGGTCCCTTTTTTCCTATCAAGAATTTAAAATGTATTATAGTTTATCTATAAGTAAGAGTAGCTGCAAAGAGTTGTAATAATTGTGTGCCTACTTATTCATAATTTGTGAGTTTTAAAGACTTCCTAAAGGAAGGTAGATAAAAAGCACATTTTCCAATAAACCAAAAGAGAATGCTTTAAATCTCATTGCATCACTGCCTAAAAAGCCTCTCCGAAAACAAATGGTGTGTGATACAATGAAATCATCCAGCACCTCTATGTAGCTCTACAATATGTATAGTGATGCTGAAATAATTGAAAACTATGGTTTATGCAAGAATGAAAAAATGTCCTAAAGCTATAATCAGCTTTAAATATTCTTGCATGGAAGATGATCTCATTTAGTAGCTTTTGCAATGTTGTTAAAAATGAAGCATATAGCTTAGAAACTAACTGCTGTTACTAAAGGTGAAAAAGAAATCAAGAGAAATAGTTACCTCCTATCTGTTCTACAAGTTATGTCTTGTAGTGTAGTGCTGATAGCAAACACCCAGCCATTTATGATTCTTTCTTAGTAAAGCCCATGAGAGAACAAATTCCCAGAGACTCGTTCATTTCCTCTTTATTAAAGAAAGTACCTGAGTGCTTTCCTGACACAGGTAATGATAAGAGATGCCACTAAGTGAGTTCCCACCATGTGCCAGCCCTACTAGGAATCACATGGGCATTAGCAGCAATCTTCAAACAACCTGCCAGTAGTCATCTTACAAAGCTCTGAAAGGTTAAGTAACTTTCCCAAGGCTATACAATCAGTAAGGGAGAGAAGCAAAATTTGAATCCAGGGCAATTTGCTTCAGATAAAGCTTCACCTGCTCAGCAAATATCACCTTTGAACTTTTCCCTAAGCCAACTCATAGCTCCTTGGGAGAAAAGACCTTTTCTGAATAAGCTGAAAAATTCTCACATCCTACCATAAAAAATGTACTTAAGGTTAATGTAAGACCATGACTATCTTTTAAAATGCAGCTGTACACAGAAAGAAAGCAGCCTACGAAGTGACTGATGTGTCCATTTTGATCACTTTCTGAGATCAAATTTATTATTACTACACAGCCAAAGTGACAGTGGGGCAATATTGCTAAGACCAGCTCAAGTGAAAAAACACACATGAAATGGCAACAGATGTTCATTTCTGGAATGTAGCATCCTTGCTGTCTCCAACTCTACTCAGCAGTATGTACTGAGGCTGCAGATTGGCCACAACCCCATCCTGAGCTGATTGTAACCAATCCTGGCAAAGCATGAAAAGGAGCCCCCATTTCTACCAATGCACTCAGTCTGATGGGATTTTTGCTGCCCTCTCATGCCCGGTTGAAGACCCATCATCACATGTCTACCAAGCTTCAGGCTGCCCATACTCATGTGTGCCCACTGCACTAGGACTTTGAATCCTCCCCTGAGGCCTCTAAAACCTGCCTAGATCTTACCAGCCATTCTTACTAGATATTGTCACCAGGCACTTTGCTTCACCCACCTCCCGAGGCTAGAATGCAATTCCATATTAGACAAATCCCCTTGCTATGCTAAAATCCCAGTGACATCTTACCATGGCCCCCATACTCCCTGTACACAAGTGACCCTCACATTCCCACCTCCCTCCTCTTTATTTGTTCACTCAGTAAATACTTAATATGTATTAGATTCTGAGAACCAAAACAAACACAGCAAAATCTGTGTCCATAAGTTTTAATAACTTCAAGGAGAAACGGAAGTAAATGAATGATTTTTATCATGTGCCATGCTCTCCAATAGAGGAATGAAAAAAAGGGAAACAGAAGCATGAAGGGGAAAGTGCAAAACCTTAACTTACTCTTAATTGAGTATTGCCATCCTGCAGGAAATCCTGCTAGCCTACACATAACCCCACTTATACCTACCTTGTCTTGGCAACTCAGATAAGGTAAGGCTTGTATAATATTTTGACCTTCTAAACTCTCTGATCAGGGCTAACTCCCATGACCAAGTTAGTTCTAGATATAGCCCGACACATTGCCTCCTTCTCTTCCCTGATGTCCCAATATACTTTGTGGCTATAATAGCCAACATTATGGTACAAGAGATAATAGAAATTTGTGTTTAGGCCAGGCAAGGTACCTCATACCCTTAATCCCAGCACTTTAAAAAGCTTAAGTGGGAAAATCACTTGAGGCCAAGAGTTTGAGACCAACTTGGGCAACATAAATACAAAAAATTAAAAAATCAGCCAGGTGTGGTAGTGCATGCCCATAGTGCTAACTACTCCAGAGGCTGAGGCAGGAGGATTGCTTGAGCTCAGGAGTTGGAGGCTGTAGTGAGCTATGGCCATGCCACTGCACTCTAGCCGGGGTGACAGAGCAAGACCCTGTCTCACCAAAAAAACAAAAAGAAAGAAAGAAAGAAATGAAATGAATGAATTTGTTTTTAAATGAAAAAAAAAATCTTTCTTTTTTTTTTCACACACTTAAATTGTTCTCTGTTATGGAACATGATTTTTTTCATCAGTCACTAGGTATTAACCAAAACAACAACATGGAATAAAGTTTTCAGCAAGTCAATAAATATAATGTCAACACAAGGGTTATTCATTTATAATATACTTAAAGGTATAAACATATACTTAAAGATATAAATTTCTTCACCTAAAAACTAAGATTTATTAACACCAGCTACTATTAGATCAAGTTCCTAGGCAATCAGTTAAATGTTGAAACAGAAAAGCAAGAATAGTAATAATTTCATATTTGCAATGCCAAAATATGATACTCAGGACATTTTAAACCATTTGAGGAATACACTGCAATGTGCCCAGCACATCCTGAGTCAAAATGTCAGAGGAACAGCCTCCTACAATCATTCAGACATTTTCCATTCTTTCCACAAATTCTATGTTCTGTTACATTCTAGCCATTGTATTAGGTGCTGGGGATACAAAGTAAAGACCTGTATGAAATCACAGACAAATGAGATAAACACATGAACAAATCATTATAGTAAAATGTGGTAAGAACAAATAATGTAATTAGGGGGTGATGGGAACAGAGGAGGGGCACCCAACCCAAACCAGGCTAGAAAGGATTGGGAAGGAATCACAGAAGGCTTCCTGGAAGAAGCGATATCTAAGCAGAATCCTAAAAAATATTAGTTAAAAGTTGAAAGAAGAAGAGCATTGTAGACAGGGGGAGTTCACATGAGCAGGCCATGGAAATACAGAATTTCACATTTGTGAGTCTGAAAGTAGTTCAGCATGGTCAGAGTTAAAAGGTAAGGTAGAAAGTGGCAAGAGACAAAGACGGTGCCAAATCACACCAGAGATGATGAGAAGTCACTGAAGAATTTTTTAAAAGCAGGTAGACACTTGGTCCTTGATGCATTTCAGATAAATTCCTTCCCTCATTCAAATTTTTACTGAGCACCTACAATGAGACAGTTGCTAGAGTACAGATGCCCTGCTCTCTTGGAAATTATATCAGGTCACTATGAAGATTAAACAGAAGGTAGATTTGAGGGGGATGAGCCTAAAGTCAGACAACTGCTCAGGATCCTGCTGAAGCAGTCCAGACAAGAGATAATGACAGCAGGGCATTAGTAGCAGAGAGTTGAAAAACATTAATATTTAGAAAGTAAAATTTGCAATGCTCAATAACTGACTGGATATGGAAATGGAAGAGGAGGGAAGAACACAGGAAGGGAAGTAGGTAATGATAAGCTTAGTTATTAACATGTTGAATTTGAAGATACTTGAAGGAATCCAGATGAAGAAATCAAAAAGTAATTGAACATACAAACCTAAAGCTGAGAAAAATGTCTGACACTAGAGGTACCAATTTGGAGACATAACCTTAAAGGGTAGTAACTTAAAGATGAAAAGGGATTCAAGTATGTAGAGTGGAAAAAACCATAGGTTAAGCAAGAAACTGTAAGGAATATCAATTCATAAGGGATGGATGGATAGAAGCCCATTGAAGGAGGCAGGGAAAGAACAATTAGAGGAATACACAAAGAATCAGAGGAGGACAGTCAAGGAAGAACCAGTGGAGCAAGAGTGTCAGGCAAAGATCGATGGTGTCTAACATGGCAGAGAGATCCATTAAAATGAATACTCAAAAGTGGCCACTGCATTTGACAATTATAAGGTAACTGGTGACTTCATTCTGAAATCATTCCGGTGATTAGAGACAAGGACATTCTGCAGTATATGGAATGAGGAATGAAGAGAAAGATAGCAGAGTCAACTAGTAGAGTCAAATCTAATAGCAACTCAAGTCTGGGTGAAAAAAAGAGGGAAAAGAATAGACAGTGGTTAAAGAGGGGTTCAAGATGAAGGGAAGGTTGTTTTTCCTTATTTTGTTTCATTTTGTTATGGATGGGAGAGACTTGAACATGTTTACATGTTGAGGGGAATAAACTAACAGAGAAGAAAAGAAAGAATAACCCCAACTGTGTTATTACCATACACCAGGAAATCACTCCCAGGAATTGGTGTGGTCTTTTGTTTATCTGTTCATTTAAGAAATATTTGTTGTATATCTACTACACACATGGCACTGAGCAAGGCACTAGTTCTGATTTTTTTGCATTTTAATTAAGCTTATGAAGACAAGAATGAATTTAGAGTCTTCTAGGACAAGGGACATACATGTAATTCAATGTGAGACTAGGTATACAGTGCAATTCAGAAGATATCACTGTGATCTTCTAAATGGCAGGTTTTAAAATATAGTAAGACTGCTTATCTATTCATATATTTCAGCTCTTGGCTGTCATGGCATACTTTGGGAATTCTCTTCCTTAAAGTTAGGTTCATTTTCAGATTCTAAGCTATAAGATGCCAAGGTTTTAGATTACAAACTGAAATTCTGATTTATTTCAGTGAAGACTTTGTGCAATGAAACACCTAATCCCCTGCTGCTAAACAAAAAAGTCTGTGAATTAAGTTATTAACTTGTTATTTTTGCCTAAGGAGCTGAGAGAAATATGTGGATTTCAGGTGTATAATTTCAAATCTAATTGAAATCTTTTTGTAGCCTCTCAGGGAATAAAATTTAAACACTATTAGAAAACTTCGAGTTTCCCTAAAATTGCTCATGTGACTTATTCTAACCAAGACACTTTAAAGAAGGAATCATTTTCATTCATAGTACCACATAGGCAAATTAAAAAAGAAAACTAATGCTCAAATCAATAATGGCAGCATTTAGCTGTAGGCTATTGTACAAAGTAATATGGTAAATAAACTGTCTTTATAGGTGAAAATCTTTAGAGTCCCATTATGAACTGGAAAAACAGGAGATATGCTATTAAAATACCATACAAGTTTCTTCTATGACCTCTTCTACAGGTTTTTGGGGGAGAGGGAGGAATCACAATTTTTTATCCTTCTAATGTGACCTCGTTTTGCTCTATAAAGCTGTTCAAAACCTCAAAAATTCATCAAAATAGAGCAACCAAGGCAAAAAGTTATTCACAAATAGAAAGTGAAAGTTTCTTAGAAAACATTTAACTCTAAGGGGAAAATGCATAAAGCCAGTAGTAAAATTAGGGAAAAATCCCAACACAAAAAAATGATAATTGTTTGAGATGATGGATATACCGATGACCCTGACTTTATCATTATACCTATACGTTATCAAAATATCACACTGTATCCCACAAATATAATTATTTATTACATAATATAATTATTATGTGTCAATTAAAAATAATAAAGGCAAAAAAATACCAAAAAAATTAAATTGGTCCAATTCATATCAGAAAGTTGATAGATTCTTAATAGGTAATTAGGAGAAAGTCAGGATATCCAGAATACATCTTCGTCTTTTCAGACTGAAATCACAGAAAGCACCTACCATCTCTAGCTCCCAAATGGCCTTTGGGTAAGCCCTTACAGAACACACTTTCTGGAAATTGACCATTGTATTCTTTTACTAGCATTGGGTGCTTTAAAATAAGATTAACACTATTAAACCAAGGCAGAGTTGGTACAGTACAGGTTAAGTATCCCTTATGCAAAGTGTTTGGGAGCAGAAGTGTTTTGGATTTCAGATTTCTTCAGATTTTGGAAAATTTGCATAATACATGCCAATTGAGCATGCTTAATCCAAAAATCTGAAATCTGAAAAGTTCCATTGAGCACTGCCTTTGAGTGTCATGTCGGTGCTCAAAAAGTTTCAAATTTGGGGGCATCTTGGATTTTGAATTTTCTGATTAGGGATGCTAAACCTGTATTTTGATTCTAGACAGTTGTAAAAAGTTACTCTAATAAATAGTGATTAGAAATAAAAATCCTAACCAAGATATTACTCTGGATATTCAAAAAACAGCAAAAGTTATTCATCGATGGGCTCAGGAGTTTGCCAACACAAAAATTGTTCATATCATTTTGACTCTAACATTTAAAAGAGTTCACATTTCTGGTAAGAAATTTATTTATATTCCTCTTAAAGACACAATCATACATGGGGTCTTAACTTGCATTTTACTGGTTATTTGAGAGATTCATTTTTAACCCATTAACTAAAACCACTATGTAACAATTTCTATAATTGTACCAGAGTATATACTGTAATTGTACTAAAATATAATTGTATTTATACAGAGGTACAAGGTGCCATATCCACTGGCTGATCCAATAACTTGTATGGTCACAAGTAAAGTCAAGAACATGAACAAGTCTTAAAAAGAAACTGATTCCTGCTAGAAATAGCCTTGTAATTTTAGCTTCTTACAACTCAGAGAAAGTAATCTATTAATATGATTCAAAAAGCATATTGAAAAGTGGCTGTCCCTACCAGTTTATCTGGCAAACAATTTGGGAATTTAACATAAGCCTGCAAGCATCCTGATATGTTTTCATGATGTCAGTGAACAAAAGTGCTACGACAAAAGGGCAATTTAAAATTGAAATGTGTGGATTATTTCTGACTGAATGACTGATTCCATAACAGAATATCTTCCAGTAACAAGACTAGGACCTCATGATTAAATAATCCAAAAAAACCCTAGAGATTTTGTTAAGAAGCAACAATAAAGAACCCTTAACAACTTCTTGTACCTGATCCCCCTTTATGTTCCAGCAAGGAGGGTAAGAAAGGTCATTCCCAGCACCACCAGTAGTTTCTACTGGTGCACATTTGTTAAGCATATATAAAAGAGTTGCAAAATGATAGCAGAAGATGACTTTCAAGTTGTGCATTTGGGAGGGTAAACGTATGGCAGAGATTCCATTCTCCCTGCCTTTGAAGCCCATGAGTAGGGTGATATTTCTCAGCCACCCTTGCAGCTAGTATGAATATGTGACTAAGTGGTTACCAAAGGAATGTGTGCAGAATGAAGGATCCCGAGTTCTCGGCCTCTGGGGAACATGCTGCTCTCATGCTGTCCTCCCCTACCCCTCCACATATGACAGCGATCTGGCCTGGAACATGCTCGTGAGGACAAAATCCTAAGGGATAATGGATATCCAAGAGAGAAGGAACCTGGGACCCTGATGACCCCAAAATGTGAGCCACATTTAAGGGCTCTCTACAGACTGTGAAATAAGAGAAATAAATGTCTATCTGCTTTCAGCCATTCAATTATTACTGGGATAATAACTAAGCTGTTAGAGCAGCCTGGCCTTACCTTAACTAATACAAAGAGTTTATAAAACCTTAGAAATGATAAGAAAAACAAAAACAGCCAGTTCAGACTAGAAGAAATAAGAGAACTCTCCTTTCTACTGTGTAGTCCCTAGGTAGCACTGTCCTGTAGCCTGGCATACATTATAAAACAAAGTGTTTAAAGAGAAATATACACATTATAGATAGATGGCCGTGAGAGGGACCAATTAAGAAACTTGAATTCTAAATTTTCCCAAATCTGAGAAAAATACAAAAGCACAAGGGTATAGTAGTTATTTCTTGGAAAAGGACAAATTTACAAATCAAGGCAATGTCGAGGATGATTGAATTCCTCGTGGAGTACCTCTTCCATTAGTTGTTCTGTCCCTGTTACGGTGGGCTTTGGCTTCACTTCACAGGTGAGTGGCTGGTGCACAGAAGGATTGTAAGAAGGCATGCTGGTGCTGACCTCCTGTTCTACTTCTCCTGGAAGCAGCAGCAAATCTGTTGGATGCAAAATATTTCATTTGACCCTTTCACCAACTTTACAATTTACCTAAATCATCTAAAAGCTTAAAAGTCAAAAGAATGAAACAAATATGTTCATACAAAGCAGGTCCATTTCCCAATGCCTATTCTCACTTGGGAACTTGACTCAAGGGATTCCCCTTTCTTTAAAATAAAAGACATTGGTAAATTTATTTTTATTTTACTGTTGCAAAGTTACAGTCCATCCAAAAGGTCTGAAGGAAATACTATTTTTGGAATAATTTGACTATGCCTTTCACTCTTAACCCAATAGGAAAATAAGGCACAAGGATGCTACTTTTGTCCCATTTTCCCATATTTTCCTGAGGGGGCAAAGAGAAAGAAAATGGAGGGCTGATTTCATCCTGTAACAATATGGTAATATTTCAAGCAATATATATTAAAAAATGATGCCAGAAGGAAAGTACTTTAACTTTCAGCATAAAAATGAAATGCTCTGTCATATTCAGAAGGCATGGTCTAATTTTCAATACTTGCAAACAACAACAGTGTGTTTCCTGCTTGTTTTGCACAATCACTAGAATTCAATAACCAACCTTGGTTTTCTGATCGATCTAGTATGAGTGGTATGTTCTCCTATTTTTGCATGTATGATAGGACATGGATACCTCACAGACAACTGATGATCTTCCACAGCTTGCTTTAAGGAGGACAAAAACCAAATAGAAGCACAACAGGTTTCCTCCTTGGTCTATGTTTTCATACAACCAGAAGGGCTTGCTAGAGCTGGCCAAGAACTTGCAGCTGTCTCAGGATGAGGCATCCTACTACTCAAGGATGATCCTAATTAAGGCACTAATTAAGTTCTCAGTGGAAGTGATTAATTAACAACAGGCCTGCCTTGGCTGTCACAAATGGCAATATATATAAGGAGATAATTGAGCAGATATTCAAAACTGAAACTTATTTGAAATGTACCTCTCACCACTGTATATAACCCCTTCATAAAAAATATAATTACAAAATTTTTAAGACTTCAGTAACAGAGAACACAGCCTGGAAACAGCACTGCAGAGGGAAGATGGTGAAAAAGGTAGTTCTGCCATGATTAACTACTGACATCTTAGAATATGATCTCATTAATTAACAGAAATAAAAACAATAATAATAGCCAACACTACGTGCCTGGAATTTTACATGCATTAACTCCGCTAATCCTCTCAATAGCTTTATTATTTCCTGTTCTACAGGCAATGAGCTCTAAGCACAGAGAATAAACCTCAAATAAAACTCAAGATCCCACAGCTAGCAAGAGCAGAGCCGGGCAGTCTGTCTACAGAGCGCATGCTCTTAGCCCACAATGTCACAATAAAAACTTCTTTTAAATAAGCATTTTTATCACATATTTTATTTAACTCAATCAGACTACACACCCAAACTCAGGACCAATACATTTCACTACTATAGTACATTAGCATGGTTAGGCAGCATTAAGTCCGTTTCCCAAATATTTTATACCGAGAGAAGTAGTATTTTCAAGCTCAGTAAGCTTTGTGGAAAGACTGGCTTTCTAATGTACCTATTTATGAGTTTAAAGCCAAACTCCCTCACTGAGCTCCCTTGTGTAAGAGCCTAGGACTGACACAAGCCTGGTTAGGAGCCTACCAACAACAAGGACAAGAAGAGAAAGGTTTAGGCCTCTCAATGTTAAAAACCGTTATCTACCAGACCCATTGGCTGCCAGCGCAAACATTTCAAATGCGAAATCAAAATCAATTCTGCTTTCTGAGCTATTTAAAATCATCATTCTGACTGACAAAATTGTGCCGTGAGAAGGATAAGTCAATTCCTTTACTGAAACCCTTCACTTCCCTAATCTACTTGCAAAGAAGGTAGGATTTCCAGCAACAACAACAAAAAAAATGGTTTCTTTCATAACAATTCTACTGCCATGGGAACAATTCCTTCGGAAGACTCAGTATTCTCAAAGTCTTAAATTCTTGTCACTTGTTTCTTCACTGTAAAAGCAAAATGCAACAATGCATATTTATTAGTGTCTAACACAGCACCTTATACATAGTGAATTCTCCACAAATATTTGTAGATAAGAAATGAATTTTATGCATCTCAACTTTTAAACTGAACAGCAAGTATCAAGAGTCTACCTGCCAATAAGACACTGTGGATGATGTAAAATAAGTATGGTCTTTACCCTCAAAAACTCAATCTTGTTGCAGAAATAAGACTTTGAGACAGGAAATTAATCAAGAACAAAATTGAATGGCTCTAACTCTAAAGATGACAGATTTATAAAAAGGTAAAACTAATATGGACAATAACAGCCTGATAAGGCATATGTTATAAAGAAAACTACTGCTATCTTTTAGCTATTTTACAATCATGGGTGGGTTATATAAACACTCATATACTCTCAGGGGAAAAAAATTACTGTATTCACTGATGATGGGAAACAGAACTTCTGAAGTTCCCTGTATGGCTTTCTATTAAGAATGAAAGTCCTTTAAGAGACTTAATCTTGGCCGGGCGCGGTAGCTCACGCCTGTAATCCTAGCTCTCTGGGAGGCCTAGGCGGGCGGATCGCTTGAGGTCAGGAGTTCGAAACCAGCCTGAGCAAGAGCGAGATCCCGTCTCTACTATAAATAGAAAGAAATTAATTGGTCAACTAATATATACACAAAAAATTAGCTGGGCATGGTGGCGCGTGCCTGTAGTCCCAGCTACTCGGAGGCTGAGGCAGGAGGATTGCTTGAGCCCAGGAGATTGAGGTTGCTGTGAGCTAGGCTGACGCCATGGCACTCACTCTAGCCTGGCCAACAAAGTGAGACTCTGTCTCAAAAAAAATAAAAAAAGAGACTTAATCTTATTGTTCCTAAAACAATCAAGACCTTGTTTCATCTTAATTAAATGCCACCATCTTCGCTAATATGCACTAGAGAGTCAGGGCAACTTTCAAAAAGATCTTGAGGTTGGATGGCAAGACTGGCCAAAACATTTTAATCTCTTCTTTCTCAACTACCTATTAAGATTTCTAATATTATAAACTTTCTATTCATGCCATTGTCTTTCTATGTTTAGTCAGTGATCAGCAAGTCAAAGACTACAGCCATGTAATATAACACAACATGAAAAAGTGAGAAATCTACCTGATATCTAATAATTCAGGCTACAATAATATTTCTGCCTAGTATATTTATAAAATGAACCAACCTGTTCATTTGTTGCCATGTAAAATGGTCAAAATTTCCTGAAAGTTTGGGCATCTATATCTAAAAAAGATATAGATAATAAATGCTTTAGTCATCCAGGCCTTTTTCTAAACATAGCTTCCAGCTATGGTAGTCTAGCTTAGTGGTTCTTGTTCTTAAAAATGGTTGAAGACCCAAAGAGCTTTATACTACAACATTTATCATATTAAGAATTAAAACTGACAATATTCTAATATTTATGTATTAGAATTATTAAAATAGTCCAATTGCATATTAAAAATGTTTTTGAAAATCTATTTTTTAAAACAAAGAAGATATTCAGAAGAGAACATTAGTTTATATTTTTTCCTATCTATTTGAATGTCTTGCATAATAGAAGTTGGATCTGTATTTGCTTCTGCAGTCAATTTTATAATATTCTGTTTCAGTTGAAGTAAAAAAGAAAATCTAGACTCACACAGATATGTAGCTGGAAAGGGAAGGAGTATTTAATAGTCATTTTATATAATTGTAGATATTCTTCATTGATACTGTAATAGAACCTGACAAATGATACCGTTTATAAAGGTTTCAATGAGCCATCTGAAAGCATGTCAGTGAATTTTTCATACTGTTAAATTAAAATCCGTTCATCATCTTGCTATTGAATGGATCTTTCTCCTATGCATAAATATAAACATCATGAATTGGTCATTTGGAAATATTGGTTCACTGTGTTGTGTAGTATACACAAAAAATCACATTAGTTAATATCACCAATTTTGCCAGGAAAGCCGTTAAATATTGAGAAGGTGTCAAGCTCACAGTGAAAATCTGATTTTCATTTGATCCATTGCCAATTTTATCATGGCAACAAATACTGTTGGTTGTTTGCCTTGAAAAGGCTCACTTCATTCATTTTGGAAAATATAGTTTGTCAGTCTGTCATTCTTTCAAATAAAAATGGTGATCCATGAAAGAGAAAAATTAGGTCAACACAACACTCAAATTACCCAAGGCCAGCTGCACTGGCTCACACGTGTAACCCAGAGCTTTGGGAGGGTGAGGTGGAAGATCGCTTACGGTCAGGAGTTTGAGACCAGCCTGGGCACAAGAGCAAGACCTGTCTCTACAAAAACCAAAAAATTATCCAGGCATGGTGGCATGCACCTGTAGTCCTAGCTACTTGGGAGGCTGAGGCATGAGAATAGCTTGAGCCAAGATGTT